AGTATACAATAATGCTATTTAAATGTTCAGTTAAAATTTTCTGGCAATTAATTATTTGTTAACATAAAAATATTTAAATCGATTGTTTGTAAATTTCATTCTATCCCTTATAGAGGACTAAAACGATTTAACTTAACCCAAAAACACTCAGCTATTACTTGAAGATGAACGCAATAAAAATTTTTCAATGGATTATTTCGAACGATCAATATGCATTGCTGAAAACGAGAGCTTACGTTGATCTCGAAAGCATTATCCCTTTAAACAGACTTGTCCCCGCGCGAAAGCGTGGCTTGCATTTGTTTACGAGCATTTCGTTACATAAGATGTGGCACCACCGTCTCCTCCAGCCACTATTTATATGTACTTTCCTTTCCCGACGCTCCGTGACACATATAACACACTCCAGTGACTAAGGACAGTCTAAAGATAATTTTCCTGCTGTTAGACACACCCATAAGGTAGAATTTTGAATGTCCGTCAAATTAGTTGGTTTCTACTTTAATTTTTGTGCGGTCATATTTTGTAAAACATTCCCCGTTATGTGAATTACCGTAAGATGTAATTAAAGCTAACAGAATGCAGTAATCAAAACTATTGTAAAACCCAAGTCGAATATTTATTTTGACTAGCGTTATGATTATTAAATAAAAATTAAATTAGCTTCGTATTTATTTAGCATAAACAGCCGTAAGTATTTTAATTGTTACATACAACTTCAAATTTCTTAAAGATGATAGATAAGGAAGATTTAGACAAAACCTTCCATGTTTGTAATATTGTAACACCAATGTATGTTTCGCTTAATATCAACTTATTCAATGGGAACTAAAAAAAAGCATTTCTAAAGCTTATACAAAAATTTCGTAACTCATGTGAAAAATTGAGTTATGATAAGACACGTTCTGTTTATCAAAATAAAAATAATCCGAATGCACATTCCAACGAATATTGATATACGATAATACAAAAACTAGGTAATTTCGGAAGTTGTCAACAAAACACGTGGTTTCTGACGTGTGGCATTAACCGATGAAAGCTGTGCCGAATCAAGACGAGTAGAAATATATCAAGTTATAGCGTGATTTCATTCAGCGAAGTCGCCTGTGTTAGTTCCACTCGGTTAGGCTTCCGGAGTATTGCGAGTGAGGTGGTTATCGAGGCTTCTCTGTTAGGTATAGACGTCGTTGGTGTACCGTACCGTCGCAGTGCCTGCAGCGCTTGGGCTCCGGGGGTGCGAGCTCGTCGCCGAGTCCGCGGTGTCGTACCGGCATGGCGGCGCATCCC